CAGCCATCTTTACCGTAAAAGCTTGGCCCATTAATACTTTATTAGATGGAAAAAGAACACTATTTTCATGTGGGTAAGCCCTATAGGGCAAGATAGCTCTGTTTATGGACCTCGACTCCGTCTCAGCCAAAATCCGGCCACCTCGACGCTCGGTCAATGACCCAGATTTATAGCGACTCGCAAGAATTCAGGCCAACGTTTAGGACCATTTAGAGGGAAGTTCTCTCATCTGGCCACAGCTGTTAGCCTGGCTGATGCTCTTGGCCTGTCTTCAATTTAGTGGGCGCGCTAGTAAATATGGGAGGGAAGAAAAAAAGCGACCACTGTATTTTTTTCAGCGGACTTATCCATCTTGCCACGCGAAGAGGCTTACTTCTCTATGACAAGAAAAGCTTGCCGGAACGCGAGTTTTTAGTGAATTTTGTTTCATCGTTTGACAACGTTGCTGATTAGACTTGATGACAATCAGCTTTGTTGCTCAGTGTTAGGGAACAACAGCACCAAAGAGTACACGCTTGCGAAGCAGTGTCATTATGGCGGGGAAACATGTGCCATGGTATCTTCATCTTATCACATCTAAATTCTCCTGGAATGAGATAGTGGTATTGACAACAAAGGTAAGTTATTGAATCAAAGTTGTGCAATTAAAGCAATCGTGACATAACTAGGTTAGGCAACTCAACTTCGGTTTGTCGATTCCGTAGCAATCAAAGGTTAAATAGCTCATGGAAGACGAAATTTACCATGAATTCGATAAATATCGTTCATTTCATTCTGCTTACAGCAGCTCCGAGCCTTTCTTTGCACAAAATTAACTAAATTAACGTCGCAACTCGCCTCCCGCCCGAAGATTTTGTTTTGCTAAATAGTGGACACTGGCAACTTTCTGATCTGAACCAATACTACTTTCTCCTCTCACGACTTGCGTACCTCCATTAAAGAAGGGCAGACGTCATGTTCCGACAATTAGCACCTCAATATGATCGGAGTTGTAGCGGTAAACTTTGAAAGGAAGTCTGAACGTGTTTTGCTTTATACTCGCTCGTGTCTTATTAGCGAG